GGTACTGAGGGGGCTGGCTGGAGGGCGAGGGGGCGAGGAGGAGACCAGAGCTGGATGGGAGCAGTGCGGACAGAGAGAGAGAGAGGGCCAGGGCTGCGGTGGGAGGCCGGACGGTCGATGTGTTGGGCCATTCTTAGAGCCTCACGTCCTGGGGTCCCCCGAGCAGGGCAGACCGGGCCAGGCACTTTTGAGGAGGCTAAGAAGCAGGTGCTCAGCCAACGGCCCATCATGTCGGCCCGAGCGCGGTCTGCTCTTCCCCCTGCTGCCAGACTCTGACCCAGCTCCGTTGTCACCTTCGCCCTCTGCTCCAATCATCGCTTCGTGCCAGGCCCCAGACGTGGTGTGGGAACAAAACGGGCTTGTCACCCAGGGAGAGAAAAGTCACCCTGGGGCCAGATTCAATTTACAAGCTGGGGAGTGAAGGCAGACAGCACCTGTTTTAGGACACACAGTGAGATTCAGCCAAGCAGGAATGGGGTGGGGGCTCCCCGGCCTCCTCCACGCTCAAGAACAGACAAGGGCGGGCATGGCATTCCTGGCGGGAGGACTGGTCCCGTAGAAACGCCGGGAGGTGGGAATAGTGCTCAGTGCATGGGGTGGGGGAAGGGAGGACTGCGGGCAGGGCTGAGGTTCAAATCTCAGCTCTGCCTGGACTTTGCCGCGTGTGGCCTTGGCCAAATCACGCTCCCTTCCTTCTTCCACTGTCCCATCTGTAGCATCGGCACATGGGGGCAGGCGGCATTTGTCCCTCGATTATTTATCTAATGGTTGTTCTGGGCTCTGAGGGCACCCGGGTAAGGTCTGGGCGTTGCTGGCCTGCAAGGGGGCCCGGCTGTGGGCATCTCTAAGGGGCCCTGGGAGGGGGGGATTCTGAAGTGCTAGGGGGCTGAGAAGGGCTGAGGCAGGGGAAGGGACATCACGAAAGCTCTTTGACTTTCCCTGACTTGCTTTTTGTCAATGCCTCGGTTCACTCCCACATGTATGGGGTCAGAAAATACAGGTGGAGCACCAAGGACGTGGCCCCCTGGAGGCTGTCAGTGCTGGGCGGGGGGAGTGGGAGGGGCTACCCTCGTATTTATTCGTTCATGCCATCAGTGAATATTTCAGGGGCTCCTGAAGGGCACAGGATCTTTTCCCTGTTGGCCTCTCCCTTTTCCTTTCCTGTCAACTGGGGAGGGCATCTCTCCAAGTGGCTGTCAGATCAAAGACCGAAACAGCGCTGCCTACCAAAGGGAGCTTCAGCTTCCCCAGTGTTTACCAGGAGCCAGGCGCCTAACCTATATTAGCCCTTTTAGTTTTCTTTTTTTAAAGATTTTATTTATTTGACAGAGGAGAGAGCACAAGCAGGGAGAGTGGCAGGCAGAGGGAGAAGCAGGGCATGTGGGGCTCCATCCCAGGACCCCGGGATCATGACCTGAGCCGAAGGCGGATGCTTAAACGACTGAGCCACCCAGGCGCCCCTAGGTTATCCCTTTTAATCCTCAGGTAGGATGAAAACCCTGAGGTAGAGATGACCGTTATCCTCATGGGACAGACAAGGAAACTGAGGCTCAGAGTGTCGAGGAGAGCGGCAGAGAGCGCCAAGACCCAGGCACTTAGCTGCCAGTCCGTCTAATGGGAACTGACCGCCTCCAGGCGCCCACTCCCTGAGCTCCTCTTCCTGGCAACCAGTGACATCACTAATTCCACGCCCACCCTCCTCCTGGTGGGGGAGCTGACGTCATCACCGAACAGTGTCGTCACTACCGCGGGCTTACTGCGTGCCGAACGCAGTGCTAAGCAGCCCCTCCTCTGGGCGCACAATGCCCACCTCGCCTCTGTCGCTGTGTATCATAACAATATCGGCAGGCGGGCCTGGCCGGCTCAGTCGGTGGAGCATGCGACTCTTTACGAATTTTTTTTTTTTTTTTTTTTTTGACAGAGAGAGACACAGCGAGAGAGGGAACACAAGCAGGGGGAGTGGGGGAGGGAGAAGGAGGCTTCCCGCGGAGCTGGGAGCCCGATGCTGGGCTCGATCCCAGGACCCTGGGATCATGACCTGAGCTGAAGGCAGACGCTTAACGACTGAGCCACCCAGGCGCCCTTTTTAATTTTTTTTTAAGAATTTTTTTTTTTATTTAGGAGCATGCGACTCTTGATCTCGGGGTCGTGAGTTCAAGTACTTCTTACGTGCTCACGACAAGCTTAGGAGGTACTGATTATTAGTACCCCCATTTTATGGATAAAAAACTGAGGAAGCACAGAGAGGTCGATTGGTTTGCCCGATGCCACACAGCTGATGGGACACAGAATTCAAACCCCCATATTCTGGCTTCAGAGTTTATGCCCTTCATCAAGACACTGCTACTTCCCCTGTCTCCCTTTTACCATTGAAGAAACTGAGGCACAGAGCGACCAAGTATTGGGCCCCAGCTCCAATGGGAAGTGCCAAGGCCATGTCCAGCCCCAGGGCTGCACTCTTCCTCAGGCCTGCAGCACTGTGGTTACTCAGGGCCTGCAAAGCAACCCCACAGCCTGTGAGGTGACAACCCTTCCTCCCTATCACCATGGAAACAGCCCCCAGTTAGGGATAAAGGGGCCCTGTCAGGTTTCTCCCACAGCCCCTTCTTGGTCCACCTCGGGACACTGCCCCTGGAAGACCCCGGCTGGCTGAGCCTCCCCTGGGCTCCCCAGAGCCCTCCAGCGACCCCAGGCGGAGGGTGCACAGTTCTCTAGCTTCTATTCTTCGGCTCCAAGCCTGACCTTGGTGCCAGGCCTTGGAGAAACTCCGCATCCCTCAAATCTCTGAGGCTGGTAGAGGCCTTCAGGAAGGATCCTGGGGCCCCTGGGCCAGTCACAGCCTTCACTGGACCTCCGTTTGCTCAACTGCCCAACTGGGCAGATGAGGAGGAACAGAAAAGTGCCCCAAGCCAGCTGGGTTTTCAACCTCATCAGGCCCCACACCTTGCCACCTTTTTATTAGAAACAGTTGTTTTAGTGGGAAGGTTTTTTTTCCCCCCTTTAATGTTTTTTTCCATTCATTCATTGAATATTTTGTTAAGGTAAAGCTCGTAAGAGTGCTGTGCACAGAGCTTTGGTCAACAACCCAAGGAATTTTGCACAGTAGGCACGCCGTGTAACCAGTCCCCACATCACAGTCCCCCAAACCCCCAAAGATAACTGCCATCCCGCCTTCTAGCACCTTCTAGCACCTTCTAGCACATTTCCTGTATTAGAACTTCTCATAATTGAAATCATGGGGTCCGGACCCTCTTGTGGCCCATCCTTCACTCAACGTTGTGATTCTGAGTTTCGTCTGTGTGGTCTCCAACCCTCTTTATATAACAGAATATTAGTAAGAGCCTCTTCGCCATCCCGAAGTGAAATCCACAGACAATATAACCTACTTACACACATACTTTCTTTCCCCCCCCCAATTCAGTGGGTTGTCCTCAGTGTACTATAACGAGGCACAAATGGAAAGTAGCCCAGTGCGGCGGCTCAGGATGGGCAGATCGGATTCTGTGGGGCCGGAAGCTGGTACCATGGTGAGGGGGGTTCTCCTGAAGGAAAAGCGCCAATGCGTGTGACTCTGGCCGTAGGGAGAGGGGATGTTTATTTAGGATGAAAAGAGAATTATAGCAACTTGCCTCATTTTGAAAGCTGACAAACCCTCCACACATTCCAGAAAAGTGGCACAGACCAGCTTCTAGCTTCATACACTTCAGACCTGCGTCTCCTCCTTCCACCTCATACTTTCTGTGTCAGGTGCCCTAGGACAAGTCATGTGATGTGACTCCTGCGAATTCCTGCCGCCAGCCACCTAGCGGGCACACAGCCATGCATGGACGGGCGTGACCACAGACCCCATAAATACCCGGGGGGGGGGGGGAAGCTTAGGAAAATGTCTCCCCACCTCCACTTCACCTTAGCCAGGGCCCCCCAGTACCCACCCCTCTCCCATGCGCCAGGGGCAGGAGATCCCGGGGGAGGCCTTCATGGAGAGATACAGCGGATTGAATGGATTGCTCTTAGAACATCTCACCTTGGAAAATTTTACCTCCATGTATGGCTTTGTGGACCCATCGTGGGGGTTTTGGAAAGGCAGCTCAAGTAAGGGGCTTGAACCTCGAGGCTATTTCAGCCTCGGGGCACCTGGCTGGCTCAGCCGGTAGAGCAGGCGACTCTCAATCTCAGGGTTGTAAGTTCGAGCCCCACGTTGGGTGTAGATTACTTAAAAATAAAAAAAAAAATTTTTTAAGATTTTATTTATTTATTTGACAGAGAGAGAGAGAGTGTGTGTGTGCATGAGCACGGGCAGAAGGAGAGGGAGAAGCAGGCTCCCCACCAAGCAGGGAGCCCGATGCAGGGCTTGATCCCAGGGTCCCGGGCTCATGACCTGAGCCGAAGGCAGACGCTTAACCAACTGAGCCACCCAGGCGTCCCTTAAAAATAAAATCTTAACAACAACAACAACAAAAAAGCCAACAAAACTGTTTCAGCTTCACGGTGACCCTGGACTGGGTTTCACAGGTGGGTTCTGCCACTCTGTGGCCTTACAGGAAGGAGTGGGCAGGGCACATAGCTTCTGTGGCCTCGGTTTCCTTGTTGTTAAAAGGAGGTGGTGGCTTAGCCTCTTCTTCAAAGGTTGGGGCAAAGAGTCAATGTGAGGAAAGTGCTCAGCCCCACTTTACAGATGGGAAGTGCTTCGTGTCCCACCAGCTGTGTGGCTTTGGGAAAGTCACTCAACCTCTCTGTGCTTGCTTTCTTCATTCATAAAAGGGGACTAATAATCGTCGTGACCTCATAGGATTGTTGTGGGGTTTGGGTAGACCATTCCCACCTTGCAGATGAAGAAATGAGGCTCAGCGAAAGTTTGTTGCCAGGGTTCCACCAGTGAGTGGGGCGCCCCTCACCTACCTCTTGCTCACCCTCCCTCCTGCCCTGAGATTCCTCTGCCCCCTCCCCAACCCTCCAGGAGTGACTCCTGTCCTCACCCCCCCGCCCCCGCACTGGTCCTCATGGTGTCTCCCCCACACTCCTACAGCCAGAAGTTGTCAGGCGAATACTTCAGGTACAAGGGCATCCCTTTCCCTGTCGGCATCTACTCACCCGAGAGCATCCGCATGGTAGAGAACGCTGATGTGCAGGACGACGACATCTTCATCATCACCTACCCCAAGTCAGGTACCTGCTGGGCGGGCTGGCTGGGGTGGTGGCCACAGAGCCTGAGAAGGGCTCTCGGACGGGAAGGGGAAGTGGAAAGAGCCGGGGGTGGGGGGTGGGGGGGGGTGAGCTTGGCTTTTGCACTGGTCAGTCCCTCCGCCAGGTGTCGCTCCTTCCCCCCCCAGGTGGGCTCTCCTGTCCTCAGGGACGCCTTCCCTGACCTCCCCATCCCCTTAACTGGCCTCTACTGGCCTTCATAGCGCCTGTCACCACCAGCCACTGTATTGTGTTTTCATTTGTTGGTTTATTCTCTGGTGTCCCCACTGGAACATGAGCTCTTTGAGGGCAGCTGGTTTAGTGTGTCTGGATCACCGCTATGTTCTTTGAGTCTAAAACAGTGCCCGGCACATAATAAATATTCGGTAAATATTGGTGGAAGGAAGGAGGCGTGGAGGGAGGGGGGAAAGAGACGCTCTTAATGTTCTCCATTCTGTCACTGAAAAACTGCTTATTGGTCATCTGCCATGTGTGGAGACACAGCTGTGAATAAGGAAGACAGTTGTCAGTTTGTCGGGAGACACGGGCTTTATTTCAATGTGCAATCACTTACGTTACTATATAATTAGTGTTGGGGTGGGTGCCCCCAAGGAAAGGTGCAGAGAGCGTTGAATGTAGGTAACAAAAGAGATGGTCTGGGGGGTGAGGGCAGCCTTCGTGGGGGACAAGATGTTCATGTCCAGACCTGGAAGCTGCAGAGGGGTTTGAGTGGGAAGGTGTGTCCTAGACGGAGGGGCAGCACATGCAAAGGCCCTAGGTTGGGGGGAGGCTTGAAGAGATTAGGGGAACAAGAGAAGGTCAGTGAGGCTAGGGATGAGCCGGGGGCACGTGGGCTGATGAAGCGTCCCTGTGGAGCCAAGGTGAGGCTCTGCGGTGACTTTACTCCAAGTCCCTCAGGGAGCTTTGAGCAAGAGAAGGGAGAGACTTCAGTTTTTCCGTCTCTACCATGATGGGGATGGACTACTTTATTTCTTTTTCAAAACACTTTTGAAACATTTCAAAATATGATATTCACCGTCTTCAGCATAGAGTTCTGTGAGGGGTATTTCTTGAGATATAATTCACCCACCGTATGATTTACCCATTTTTTAAAGTGTACGATTCTCTGGTAGTAGTGTATTCACAGACTTGGACCACCACCACAATCCATCCTGGTGCAAACCCTTGGTACCTCTTGGTACCATGTGCACCATCCTTTCACCATCCCAACAAGAAACCCTGTACCCATTAGCCATCCCTCCCCAAGCCCCACATCCCCAACCCGAAGCCTTGGCCACCATTAATCTGCTTGCTGGCTCTGTGGATTTGCCCATTCTGGACATTTCATATAAATGGAACGCTACAATGCATGGTCTTTTGTGTGTCTGGCTTCTTTCACTTAGTACGACGTTTTTGGGTTCATCCACGTGGTAGCACGCTTCAGTGCTCCTTCATTCCCGTTTATGGTGGAATACCGTTCCATAGCATGCATCCTATTTTCTGTTTACTCATTCATCAGTTGATAAACACTTGGGTTGTCTGCACTCTTTGTCACAAGTAATGCTTCTAGGAACATGGGCATCCTGTATGTGGACATATGTTTTCATTTCCCTCAGAGTTCTGAGTTTTGAGAGACGCACACAGTCCTATAACCACCATCACAGCCAAGATACAGAACAACCCCATCGCCCCCAAACCTTCACACACTTTCCTGGCCACCTCCTCCCTCACCCCAGCCCCTGACAACCTGTTTGCAGCCCCTAGAGTTTTGCCTTTTCCATAATGTCACATAGATGGACCCATACCATGTGCAGCTTTTGAGATTGACTTCTTATTTTTTTTAAAGATTTTATTTATTTATTCGACAGAGAGAGAGGGAGGCGGGGAGAGGCAGAAGCAGGCTTCCTACGCCGAGCAGGGAGCCCGATGCGGGGCTCGGTCCCAGGACCCTGGGATCATGACCTGAGGCGAAGGCAGATGCTTAACGGACTGAGCCACCCAGGCGCCCCTGAGACTGACTTCTTTCATTCAGCATAATATACTTTAGATTCACCCAACCTGTTGTGGTTTTTTTTGTTTTTGTTTTTGTTTTTTTATGTCCAAGGAGTATTCTTTTCTATGGATGGACCATGGTTTATCCATTCATCTACTGAAGGACGTTTGGGTTGTGTCCAGATTGGGATGCGTATGAATGCAGCTGTTATGCAGCTTTGCATTCAAGTCCATGCATGGAAATATGTTTTCATTTTTCTTGGGTAAATACTCAGAAGTGAGATTGCAGAGTCTATGGGAAGTAGGTTTGCTTAACTTTATGAGAAATTGCCAAGCTCTTTTTCCAAAGTGGCTTTGCCATTTTGCATTCTCACCAGCAACATCGGTGAGCTTGCCAACCGAGTGTTCCTCGCCAACACTTGAGATTGTCAGGGTTTTTTGTTTGTTTGGTTGGTTTTTAAGCCATTCTAACAGGTACATATTGCTATCTCACTGTGGTTTTAATTTGCATTTCCCTGGTGGCTAATGATGTGGAGCATCTTTCCACTGGCTCATTGGCCAATTATGTATCTTCTTTGATAAAGTGTCTGTTCAAGTCTTTCCCCCATTTTGTAATCAAAACCATTTGTTTTCTCATTATTGAGTTTCGAGAGAGTTCTTTTTTTTTTTTTAATTAGGCTCCACGCCCAGCGTGGGGTTTGAACTCATGACTCTGAGATCAAGAGTCAGATGCTCTACTGACTGAGTCAGCCAAGCATCCCGAGAATTCTTTATATAATCTGAGTACAAACCCTTTATCAGATATGCCTTTTGCAAATACTTTCTCCCCATCTGTGACTTATCTCTCTAGTGTTTTCTCAAAGCAGAAATCTAATTTTGATGAAATCCAATTTGTCAATGTGTTCTTCAATGGGTCAGATTTTGATATCATAGCTAAGAAACCTTTGCTTAACCCCAGGTCGGAAAAACGTCCTTTGTGTTTCCCTGTAGAAGTTTTATGATCTTAGATTTTAAACTTAAATCTATGATCCATTTTAAGGTAATTCTAGTATATGGGATGAGGTATAGTGTGAGGTTCTTTGCCCTTGGATGTCCAATTAGTTCAGCTTCTTTCTTTAATTTGAAATGTACTGATTTTTTTCTTAAGAATAATGAATTCATAGTTCAGAAGCTCAAGAGGTACCAAGGGTTTGCACCGAAAGATCGCTCTCTCCTCCTGCAGTCACCAAGAGCCCCCGTGTATCCTTCCAGAATTTGCACGTCCAAGCAGAAATGTGCATAAATATATTTTCGCTTTTTCCTACCACAGTTCACACACTACCCACACCATTCTGTATTGCGGTCTTGTCTATATTTTTGCTTTCTTTTTCCTTGTATTTGTTTAGGGGAGAGAAGGGGAGAGTCTTAATCCCCCAACGTGGGGCTCGATCTCATGGATCACGATCTGAGCCAAAATCAAGAGCCAGACATTCCCCGGGCGCCCCTCTTTCTCTTTGCATCTTGACATCACCCCATCTTAGGACTGTAGACAAAGAACTTCTTTGTTTGTTTGTTTGTTTGTTTACGGTTCCATAGTATCCCATAACATCGGCTGTACAGGAATTCTTGTTTAAAGAGTTCCTGGCTGATAACTATTTACTAGTTTTCAACCTTTGCCTTTAAACACAATGTAAACTTTATACACAATGTAAACTTTATACACAATGTTGCCTCCAGGGCATATAGCACCTGCACACTTCGGCCTTTATCTGTAGAAAAAACTCCTAGATATGGAATTGCTTGGCCAAAGGGTCTGTGAGGATGCGATTTTGATGGCCATTGCCAAATTTCCCTTCATCAGAGTTGTAGAAACCTCTTCCCTGAACAGCAGGTTTCGTTCAAAGCAACTTTGAGCCGGATGGTGATGGTTGCACAACAACCTGAATGCATTTCATGCCACTGAGCTGGACCCTTTAGAAATGGTTAAATCGGTAAGTTTTACGTTATGCGTATTTTAGAAAAGAATTTGTGAACTAGTCACGGAGGATTAAACGACTAAGGGGGTAAGGAGAACCCCAGGGGATACAGGAAGAGCCCATACAGGGATCAGCCAGCCACTCCCCCTGGGCGGAAAGCAGAGCGCCCAAGGAAATCTGATGGGGTCGCGGGGGGCAGAAAGTGTCGCTGTCGCTGGGTGTTCGGGGCACTGCCGGCCGCGGTCCATCACGGGAGCCAGCGGGCGAGAGGAGCGGGCGAGAGCCGGGAAGAGAAGCCCATCCTCCCGCAGGACTCCTCCGGCGCCCTCTACTGGCGGAGGTTATCATTGCGCCAGGCGCCGGAGGAGAACTGTTCACAGGGTCCGGCTCCCAACGCCCAGAACAGGGCAACGGAGAGTGGATTCGGAGGCAGAGGCAGTGCATCAAGAACCGGGGCAGGGTTATTGTTAGAATCCAGGGCAATATAGGGGCACCCGACTGGTTCAGTTGGTGGAGCGTGAGACTCTTGATCTGGGCGTCGTGGGTTCAAGCCCCACCTTGGTCGCAGACATCTCTGCCCTTAAAAATAGGGGCGCCTGGGTGGCTCAGATGGTTGGGCGTCTGCCTTCAGCTCAGGTCGTGATCCCTGGGTCCTGGGATCGAGTCCCGCATCGGGCTCCCTGCTCCTTGAGAGCCTGCTTCTCCCTCTACCTCTCTCTCTCTCTCTCTCTGTCTCTCATGAATAAATAAATAAAATCTTTAAAAAAAAAATAGGGGCGCCTGGGTGGCTCAGTCGGTGAAGCGTCTGCCTTCGGCTGATGTCATGATCCCGGGGTCCTAAGATCGATCCCCGCAAGGAGCCCCGCGTGGGCCTCCCTGCTCAGCGAGGAGCCCGTTTCTCCCTCTGTCTCTGTCTGCAGCTCCCCCTGCTTGTGCTCTCTCTCTCTGTCAAATAAATAAATAAAATCTAAAAAACCCCCCAAAACAAAAAACAAAACAGACAAACAAAACAACAAAACAAAGAATCCAGGGCAATATAATACTAATAATAGGTGACTGTTAACATTATTATTTCTCAGCTGACTTGCCTATAGTCTCCTGGAATCCAGACCAGAGAACCAGGTCATTGATATAAGGTCCCTTCCTGCTACATGACATTTGTGGCTCCCCCCCAGAAATCAAGGGGTTGAAGGAGCAGTGAAAGGAGCTGAGGTTTTTAAGCCCAGAGGCCTTAAGGATTTAATTCCAGCTTCCTGTATGTACTAGCGGAATGCTTCTGCCTCACACATAAGCCTCAGAATCCCCGCCTACTAGAAGCTTATTTGTCATTCCTTTAAACTCCAGGCGGTGCAGGATGCGTGGAGGGAACTGGGGGGAAATCCATGCAGTCTCAGGCATTCTGGCTCTTTCCGTCTTATGGCTCTGCCATCCCCGGGAGCCCCAGTCTCCAGGGGTGTCCCCGCATCCAGCCAGCGGAGAGGGAAGGTGGGGCACGTAGGAGGTGTTTATGGGCCAGGCCTGGAAATGGCTGCATATCACTGCCACCTGAGCTCACTTGGCCAGAACTCGGTCACATGGCCCCACATGTAGCTGCAGGGGAGGCTGGGGAAATGTGGTCCCGTCATATTCCTGGTAGGGAGATGAAATGGGGTTGGATGGACAGCAGCCAGTCTCTGCCACGCGGGCCACTTCCTAGCTTCGCCACCTTGGCCGCCGACTTTGTTTCTTTGCGCCTTGAGTTCCTGCTCCGAAAATCACGATAAGCAGGCCTAGCTTCTCCACTGGCCGGCCGGCCAGCCGTGAGGAATCTGAGAAATCTGACTCCGGTTCTCTGTGGCCTCCCCTCCACCCCGCCCCATCTTTGATTAATTTGCCCAATATCTCCTGGCAGGCACCAACTGGATGATTGAGGTCCTCAGCTTAATCCTAAAGGACGGGGACCCAGCCTGGATCCACTCGGTGCCCATCTGGAAGCGGGCACCCTGGTGTGAGACCGTCATGGGTGCCTTCAGCCTCTCGGACCAGCCCAGCCCCCGCCTCATGAGTTCCCACCTCCCCATCCAGCTCTTCACCAAAGCCTTCTTCAACTCCAAGGCCAAGGTGCAGGACGCGGGAGGGATGTTGGGGTGGGGGAGAGCTGACTCTCCCTGACTGATGGGTTCAGCACATTTATTGAACACCTACTATGTGCCTGGCCCTGATCTAGAACAGTAGCTAATAAGCACACAGCAACGTAAGCCTACATTCTAAGGGGGTAACAGGCAGAGAATAGGTAAGGAAGCTCTTTAATATGCCAAGGTGGCAAATTCACATCAGAAAGGAGCAGAGTGTGGGGGTGTCTGGGGGAAGAACATTCCAGGCACAGGGAAGAGCAGGTGCAAAGGCCCTGGGGTGGGCGTGGCATGCCTGAGGCTGGCAAGGAAGCCTGTGTGGTCAGAGCCAACTGAACGAGGGGGAGAGGAGTAGAGATGAGGTCAGGGAGGTAACAGGCTTCCAACTGTGCAGGGCTGCGTGGGCTGTGGTGGGAACTTCGCTTGTCCCCTGGGGGTCATGAGCCAGGGCAGAGCTCTGAGCAGAGAAATAGGAGCCGACTTAGGTTTCCACAGGCGCCCTCTGGACACGAGGTGGGGGACAGGCCGTGGGGGCAAGGGCAGGTCGTCCAGGTGGGAGGCAACAGTGGACGAGACGAGGGTGGTGGAGGTGCGTCAGTCAGCACAGCAGAGGTGGTGAAGGAAGAAGAGAGGTGAAGGAAACGGGCTGGGTTTGGGGTGTATTTTGAAGGTGGAACCAGTAGTCGGATTAGCTGACAGATTGGGTGTGGGTGTCAGACAGATGAATCAAGGGTGACTCCATGGTGTTTGGCTTAAGCCGCTGGGAGGATGAAGCTGCCGTCACCTGGGATGGGGGGGCGGCGAGATGGGGAGGTTCAGGGGAAAGTGGGAGCTCTGTCATGGCCCGTAGGTGTCCGGGTGCGGGTTGCCAGTGGGCAGGGAGATAACTGAATCGGGATTTGATAGGGATTTGATAACCGGGATGGACTTGCATATCTGTAATTGGCTGGTCAATGCAGAGATGGACGGAGTCATTAAAGCCAGGAGACTGGTGGGGTCACCAAGCAAGTGAGTGGCTGACCATAGACTTGGGGAAGGAGACAGTTGCCAGGGAAGGACATATCCGATGGGGCTGGAGTGGGCTTGGTTGTGGAATAGGAAGCAGGTATACAGAGTGGAGCCAGGTGATCAGGGCCTTGAATGCCAGGCCCAGGGGCTGGGACTCTTCCCTGGGGTGCTGGAGAGTCGAAGAAAGCAGGGTCAGATCTGGGTATAGAAGCACCTTCTGGGGCCATGTGGAGGCTGGGAGGCTGGGGAAGAGGCTCTGGTGAAGGACCAGGCAGGAAGAGATGAGCTAGGGCCTTGGCTATGGGAATAGGAAGGAAGGTCAACACCCCTCACCCTGATCTCCTCCATCCTGAACCCCATGCCTTCTTCCTCCAGTCTTTATTCCCTGAAGCCAAACCGTCACTCTGCCTAGTCCAGGAACAGTCCCACTCTCCTCCTGGAATGTGGTTGCAGGGAGCTCTCCCCATCCGCTGGCATGAGGTGAACCGATCTAAGCTTAGCGGGGCAGTCCCCTGAGAAGTCAGCTCTGAGTCCTTCCTGCTGTGGGATCAGAAGAGAGAAGGCTTGAGGACACGCGGTCTTTGGGGCTGGGGTCCTTCCTGTGTCTGACACCTTCTGGCCTCCTCCCCAACATCCACACACAGGTGATCTACATGGGCCGGAACCCCCGGGACGTGGTGGTCTCGCTCTACCATTACTCCAAGATTGCTGGGCAGTTGAAGGACCCCGGCACACCTGACCAGTTCCTGCAGAACTTTCTCAAAGGCGAAGGTGAGGACTAGGGCAAAGTGAGACGGGGGGTGGGGGCGCCCCTTGGGGACCCAGCCAAGAAGGGGGCAGGGGAGGGGTACGAAGGCGAGAGAGGCAGAGATACAGGGCGTTACTCGCAGTGAAGGACACAGGGGAATAGAGAGAAGGAAACAGACAGCAGACACATAGATACAGAGAGAGAAGAGAGAAACCAGAAGAGAGAGAGAGATGCAGAAAAGGGACAGAAACAGAGAGATGGGGAGACAGGGGTTTTCAGGGTGCCAGGTGTGGGGGGTTTGGGGGAAGCATCCAGCTCTGAGGGGCCGGGCCTGGGGCCACATGGGGCCAGTGAGGCCCCCCTGAGCCCCGAGCCCCAGCGGAGGTGGTCTTGCTGCCCGGACCTCATCCGCCTGCCCCTCCGCCCGCAGTGCAGTTTGGCTCCTGGTTCGACCACATTAAGGGCTGGATTCGGATGCAGGGCAAAGAGAATTTCCTGTTTATCACCTATGAGGAGCTGCAGCAGGTGATTCCCCCCCCCGCCCCCCGCCCTCCCCACCCCCCGGCCCAGCGCCCCCCACTCCTCCCCTCCTCACACCCGCTTCCCTTCCCGCGAGGCCTGCTCTGCTGCCCAACGCACCAGGTACTGGGGGCGCAGCCGTGAACGGAGCAGGGTCCTGAGCCCCTGAGCCGCAGAAGGGGCATGGACAGAGACATGAAATAGATGGCAGCTGGAGAGCAGAGCGAAGGAGAAAAGGCAAGCCGAATAGAAGCTGAAGATAAGGAATGTGTGGGGGCGCAGTTTTAAATAGGGTGGCCAGGGAGGCCTCTGGGGGGAAGATGACACGTAAGCAAAGATCTGAAGAAGAAGAAGGAGCCCTGGAGATAGCTGGGGGGAAAGTGTCCCGGAAAGCCAGTGCAAAGACCCTGAGATGAGAGCATGCTTGATGTGTTCCTAGGGGAGCAAAGAAGCCCATGTGGCCAGAGCCGACTGAGTCTGGGTGGGGGTGGGAAATGTGGGCAGCGAGGGGATAGGAGGCACAGGGAGGACCTTGGCTTGTCTCCGAGTAGGTGGAAGCCCCCAGTGGGCCCTGAGCGGGAGAGCAGACAGGATAGATGAGGTCCTGCGGAACTGCAGCATGTGGGAAGTGAGTTTCGATGATGGCTGTGACCTGAAAGGCAGAGGGGGCGGTGGAAGGAAACAGCCTTTGGAGCTAGATGGGGATCCTGTCTGGACCCCATCAAACAGCCCTGGAACAGGCACCCAGGAGAGGAAAATGCCTTCTGGCTGGGGCAATCAGGGAAAGCTCCCTGGAAGAAGGTGCCATGCAGAATGCCCACTGCTTTGCTGGGCTGTAAGGAGGATGCTGGGCTTCTAGAGGGACAACCCACAGTGAACATAACCAACCATTCTAGATTCTTTTTTTCTTTTTTAGCAAACGCTTTTTTTTTTAAGATTTTATTTCTTTGAGAGAGAGAACATGGGGGGTCGGGGGGGCAGATGGAGAAGCAGACTATCCACTGAGCAGGGAGCCCAATGTGGGACTCCATCCCAGGACCCTGGGATCATGACCTGAGCCGAAGGCAGACGCTTAACTGACTGGGCCACCCAGGTGCCCCATTCTAGATTCCTAACAAAGATATTCCCAGAGGCTGGGTACCTGAGAAGCTCCCATTATATGCCCCTTCACTAAGTTCCCCAGACACATTCCCTTCTTGTGTGTTTCATGTATGTGTCGTATTCTTTCTGTCAGTACTTTTTGGAGTGGGAAACACCTGAATTTTTATGTCCAATAAAGCAGTTAAAATCCCCTAAAATGTTGGGGTGCCTGCGTGGCTCAGTTAGTTGGGCATCCAACTCTTAATCTCAGCTCAGGTTTTGATCTCAGGGTCGTGAGTTCGAGCCCAGCATGGAGCCTACTTAAAAAAGTCCCCTAGGGCGCCTGGGTGGCTCAGTTGGTTGAGCGACTGCCTTCGGCTCAGGTCATGATCCTGGAGTCCCGGGATCGAGTCCCGCATCGGGCTCCCTGCTTAGTGAGGAGTCAGCTTCTCCCTCTCCCTCCACCCCTACCCCCCTGCTCATTCTCTCTCTCTCTCTCAAATAAATAAATAAAAATATTCTTTAAAAACTGGTGGGAAAATGCAGGCTCATGGGATTGCTGTGAGAACCACAGTGGCTGGCACTGGCATATTATTACCATCTGACAAGGTACGCCACAGTGTGAATATAGTGTGTAAAGTAAAAGTGATTAGGTTCTGAGCAAGGGCCTATCTGATTAGTAGTAACAATAGTAGCCAATGTCCCCTGAGGGTGAGAGAGGCCATGCACCAAATACCACATGTGGCTCATCATATTTAATCCTCGCCAGGTATGGGCAGGTGAGTTACCTATTAGAGCGAACCACATAAAATTGCCAGTATCGAGCCACATTTTATAGGGGTCACCCCAATATTGTTATTACCCCCATTTTAGAGAGGAGGAGCCTGGGGGTTTGGAAGCTGGACAGAGTTGACAACCTACCTGAGTTTTTTGTTTTTTTGTTTTTTTCCCAACCTGGTAAATCTCTTGATGTTGGAAGATCCAGAGAAGATTTTGGCATTACCATCCCCCCACCCCCACTTTTTTTTTTTTTCATCTAGTTTTGTTCTCCAAACCAAAAACTGGGCCATGCAGCCTGACAGAGCTTCTGGGCTGCCCCAGGGTGTGAGGAATTGCCAACATGTTAGAATTTCTGGGACACGCCAGTGGTTCAAGACGATAAAGGGATGGAGGGTTATGAAACCAGGGATGACGTGGAAAATCAGAGCCGTGGGGTTGGTGGAGCTGAGCAGAAGGCGGATTGCATTTCAGGGAAGGCAGCAAAAATAGAAGGGGGCAGGGAGGGGTGGGGCTTCAGGCACTTAAATCTGAGCTCCTCCCTAGCTGTGTGACCCTGGACAAGTGTCTTCCCCTCTCTGAGCCTCCTTTTACCGACTGGGGTAAGGACACCTCTCTGCAGGGTTATTGGCATGCCTGCCACAAATATACATGAGGGGCTTGGACCAGAGCTTGGTACACAGGAGGTGTTCAATTCCCAGTAACTTGAACCGTCGTTGTCGGGAGGGGGTGGATATTTGAGCTGCATCTGGATGGGGAGGTTTGCCAGGTGGAGGAGGGTGGCATGGGGCATTCTTGGCAGCCCCATGCCGAAGCTGCAGGGAGGAAATTGCAGGGAATGGTAAGTTCTGGAAAGATAGGATGGGGGAGGCCAGACCACTTCTCTCCTTGAAAGCCAGGCCTGGGCGGGGGGTGGGGGTGGGGAGGGGGTGGCAGGACTCCTGTCCCTGGGCACCAGGGAGCCATAGGAGGTCTGGGAGCAGAGAAGAGTAGGGTCAGCTCTGGGTGTGGGGGCCTGGAGGCAGGGAGGCCAGGGAGGAGGCTGGGGAGGAGGCTGGGGTGAGGAGTCCATAGGGAGAGGCCAAGGCTTGACCAGTGCTAGGGCTGAAAGCCCAGAGGAGATGAGCAGAGACAGACTGACAGGGGTGTGGGGGCAGGGGGAGACAGAGGGGTGAGGCCGGGCTGGGAGTCTGGCCTGGGAGTGGCTCAAGGAGGTCGCCTTTCCGGGATGGGGACCCGGGGTGGGGGTGCAGATTTGGGGCACAGAGAGGCTGACTCCCCCTTCTACCCCGAGTGAGGGTGATTCTGCATAAGGTGCCTGAGTAACCTCTGCTCCCTGCTGTGACCTCCACCCGCAGAACCCTCCAAAGCCCCAAACTGCAAAAACTCAGAAGCCATAGCCCAATCCCTCAGCTCAGAGGTGGGAAAACTGGGGCAAAGAAGCAGAGTCACCCAGACAGGCCTGGGTCAGGACTCAGACGTCCAGATTCGGGGTCTGGTGGGTGCTCCTTCCTTGCCTGGGGTCCCACCTCCCTCCGCCTGGCCCCCCCTGACCCCTCTCCCCTGCCTGCAGGATCTCCATGGCTCCGTGCAGCGCATCTGCCAATTCCTGGGTCGGCCGCTTGGTGAGGAGGCGCTGGGCTCCGTGGTGGCGCACTCAGCTTTCGGCGCTATGAAGGCCAACGCCATGTCCAACTACACGCTGCTGCCCCCCAGCCTGCTGGACCAGCGCCACGGGGCCTTCCTCCGGAAAGGTGCGGGGGCTCTGGGGTGCCACAGCCTGGCTGTGTGACCTGGGCGAGTCACGTAACTTCTCTGGGCCTCAGTTTTCCTGGCTGAAACATGGGGTTGCTCCAAACAGAACTGCCTTCCCAGCGTCACTGTGGACCCAGGACTGACCCCCCACACAGGGCTGAGCCTGGGGCCGGGCACACTCTGTGAGGCTCTATAGCGTCTTTGCAAATCTTTCTTAGCATGAAGGGCTCACCCCAGAAATATTCAAGTGTTGGATTACGGGGTGAGGGTGGGAGTGCACTGCTTCCTATTCCTGCTAAAATACCACAAATTTAGCGGCTTCACATAAGCCACGTTTATTCTCTTACGGTTCTGGTCAGAAGTCCAAAATCAGTGTCACTGGGTTAAAATCAAAGTGTCCAAGGGATTGTTCCTTCTGAGGCTCTAGGGGGAGAATCCATTCTTTGCCTTTTCAGTCTCTAGCCCCATGTGCACTGCTTGGCTCGTGGCCCCCATTCATCTTGGAAGCAGCAGCAGAGCATCTTCTGATCTCTGACTCTGACCCTCCCACCTCCTCTTATCAAGACCCTCGTGGCTAAATGGGGGCCACCTGGATAATCCAGGATCCCCTCCCCATCTCCAGGTCTTTAACAATGACACCTGCAAACTCCCTTTTGCCATGTAAGGTCACCTAGGCATAGGTTCCAAAGACTAGGAGAGGTCGACATCTGGAAGGAGGGGGTGATTATTCAGCCTCCCACAGGGAGCCCCCCGCCAAGACCTCACGAGGGCTGTCACGTAATATGTGGGGTGTACACTTGCTAAGATTCAAAATGCCACGATCCGAACGACATTGGCCCCAGGATTCCAGGTTAATGCCCCATGACAGTGAGAAACGTGAGGCTCGGAGGGATCCCCGCACCTGCCTGGGCACATGGAAGGGGCAGAGTTCACACCCCTTGCCTGCTCGGTTGCTGCGAGGGTTAAAGAGTGAACCCCACGAATCCAGGGTAGCCCTTCAGCAGGTCCCCTGGCACCGAGTGTGGGAAAGCATTCATTCCCACTGTCAGAGCCATAATGGAGGTAGCGTGTTGCAGGAGCCCTGCGGTGAGGAAGCCCTGTTCCAGCCAGGGAGGTGAGGGACGGGTCACAGTGACACGGTCACACTGGCAAGAATGCTGGATGGGGAGGCGGATGTTCCGGCCGAGAGATTTAAGGGGTCGGGGTAAAATAGAGGAAGGCAACAGGTCTACTGCAGGGACAGGCAGGATGGGGGGAGCCGAGGGAGGGAGGGCGCAAGAAGGGTGCCCAGGGGTCTGGCCAGGTGACTGGGGGCAGAGGCGGCCACTGTAGGAGGTAAAGGGGCAGCATGGAAAGGAAGAGGGCTGGGGAGGTGCTTCTGGCAGGGGCCCGCAGGTGGGAAAGGGGGTGCTGGCATGTTGGGGGCGGGGAAGTTTCCCACGTTCCTCACCTTGCTGGCCCTCCCTCCCTTCCAGGCGTGTGCGGTGACTGGAAGAACCACTTCACGGTGGCGCAGAGCGAAGCCTTCGACCGTGTCTACCGCGAGCAGATGCGGGGGCTGCCCACCTTCCCCTGGGACGTCCTCGAGGACGCCAGCCCGGACCCCGATCCCAGCCCCAGCCCCCCCGAGGCCTCCGAGCCCCCCAATCCGTGACTCTGAGAATAAACGCTGCACTCCCGCCCGGGCTCTCGCTGCGCTCTGGAGGTGGCTTGCCGCGGCCGGCCGGCAGGGGGCGCGCGAGGGAGGCGGAGGCTGCGGGCGGGGCGGGGCGGGGCGGGGCGGGGCGGGGCGCCGCGCGCCCAGGGACCTCGGGAGAAGACGAGTCTTCTTCCCCGCCCGGCACGCCAGTGGGGTCGGTGACTTAGAAGCCCCCGCCGGAGGCGAAGGTGCTGCGGGGAGGCCCTCCTGGGTGGGAGGGAGGAGGGGGCCAGACCTGCCTTCCTGGGTCTTCTGCTAGGCTGTGGAAATGCAAGATTCTGGCATCAAGCAGCTTTATTCTGAGCAGAGGTAAATGAGCCCCCAGCAACTCAGCGCTTAGCACCCGCAAAACAGCCCCAGCCCCCCTGGCCCTGCCCCCCACCAACTTCCAGGTCCTCATTATTCAGCTCCACTCCCTCGATTGGATTCTGTCCTCTCCCGTGCCAAGCTGTTTACCCACACTGTCCCGTGCCAAGCTGTTTACCCACAGCTCCTGAGCATGGTGGGTACCGGAAGCTCCCCCACTTTGTCCCACGGACTCGCCACCTTCACCCCACACAATTCCAGCACCGGGGCCATTCTGCCAGGCCTGTCCGCAGAGAGGTAGGATATGCGATGTTCTAGGATCCCAGCTACTCGAGACTTTCTGCCCATTTCCTAAACTGTGACACTGGCCTCTAGAGTGAGCACTGGGCTTGCCCAGGTTCTAGAACAAAGAGAAAAAAATCCCTTCCGATTTCCAGACAGACACCCAGGCCAGAAGCATTGTCCACGCCTCGACTCAGAGGCGGGGGGCTTGGAGCCGCTGGGAGACAGGTGGGCCCCATGTGGCTCTGGCTCCTGTCACGGTCGCCCCTTGAGTCCTGCCTGGGCGGCCCGATCTGGCTGCTGGAAGCCTCGGGGTTCCAGGAGTTTGGAGGCAGCATCTTCACCAAACCTCCTTCTGGTCGGGGACAGATAGCGGAGGTGGCGTGCAGGGAGGAGGGGCAGGGGGCTGCCCCAGGGCTGGGACCGGCTCAGAGGACGAGGTTCTGTCTCACCCCTGGGGGCCCCTCCGGTGCCCCGTTGCCTCATCAGGGCCTTGGCTGGGGTGTCCTTGGAGCCCCAGGACTTCTTGGGCTGTGGAGGGAAAGAGAGGGAGGTGAGAGAAGGCTTGGGGGACTGAGTCCTGGAAGGGTTTGTGTGTGTGTGTGTGTGTGTGTGTGTGTGTGTGTGTGTGTGTGTGACTCTCAGGGGAGGTGAGAAGGCCCCTGAGCCTCCAGAATGGGGAAGGGAAGTGATCCGGGAGGCCTGGGGCCCCCAGACCCTCAGAGGGCCAGCTGCTGTGTTCCCCCCTGCAGCTTTGCAGTTGGGGAGGAACAGGAAGCTGCCAGCAACTGCCTGGGGGGAGCAAATATTTGCCAAGGGAGGTGATGGTGGGTGAGGGCGGCTCAGGACCGGGTGGAGGCGAGAGGACCTTGCCCCTGCCCTGCCCAATCCCCCTTCTCCCCTGGAGTGGAACTGAGGGAGGCGATTCCTGGGACATTTCTCCCTCACCCTCGGAAAAGGTCCTCACTAGGTCCCACGTAGCAGATGGGGAAACTGAGCCCGAGAGGGGCACAGCTCACAGAGCACCTGTACCCCGGGTCTGCCGGCACACAGGGTGAGGCCGCCTGCTTGTCCCACATGGCTCTGCTCTCACCCTGTCAACAGGCCACTTTACAGCTGAGGGCACGGAGGCTCCGCCCAGGGTCCCAGAGAATTAGGGCAGGCTCCGTGGGAACCCCAGCACCTCAGCAGCTGAGAGCAGGGGCACAGAGACCCCTTGGAGCTCGCCAAACCCCCTTCCCAACACCCCGATGACGCTCGAATCCGGGAAGCCAGGGGCAGAGCATTTAAAACCTGCATTGGCGAGGCCACCAGGGCCGAGTTCCAATCTCTCCCTTGTGCCTGAGTTTCCTCATCTGTGAAACGGGGGGGCGGAGGCTCGTAACAACAGCCACCTCAGAGGGTTGTGGCAAAGATCCAATTCAACCTCCTCTGTGAGAGCCCCTGGCATGTGGCACGGTGCCCACAAGAGATGGTGGTTTTGACCTTGGGCAAGTTACTTGACCTCTCTGAGGCTCAGCTTTCCCATCTGTAACCACGAGCGTGAGAAGAGAATTACCTCACTGACCTGGGATGAAGATCTCGTGAAAGAAATACAAATAAATTCCGCCGTGGGGATTCACTGTTAATACTTAATGTTCTAGTTAGTTTATCCCCCCCTCACTGACTCCTCCTTCCCACCAAACCGAGACGGGGACAACTGCTGTGCCTATTCACTAGAAGAGAACACGGAGGGTTCAGAGAAGGCAGATCTCTGCCTGGCTCTCCCCATTAGTGGGTCATGCCAGGATTTGCACCCAGGCTGGCTCTCGGGGTCCCTGCCCCCAGCCACCCAGCGCTCCCCTGCCCGGCACGCAGTAGGGCTGTAGGAAATGGTCGCTGGGATCATGAACTCAGGTGGGCGCTTTTGCTTACCCCGTCTCCACCCCCAGCCCCGGCCCGGGGCCAGGCACATAGTAGGCCCTCTGCTGCCCCATCCCCTTCCTCTTGTTTCTCCGAGGCCAGCCACCAGCGCTCACCTCACTGTCACTGTCGCTGGAGCCGGACAGCTGGGACAGGCGGCTCAGGTCCCACAGGGAGCGGCTGGGCCGGGCCGGGGGGCCGCTGGGGGGCCGGGCGCGCTGGACACTCCTCAGGATGTCGCTCAGCGCCGGCCCTGGGGCGGCCGGGGTCTCCTGCCTGTCCCCCTCAAAGACCCGGCAGGCAGCCAAGCGTCGGGCCAGGGGGCCGTCGGGTGGCGGCGGTGACATGGGGGCCACAGAGCGGCGGCGGGCCACACGGTGGGGGTTGTGAGCCAGCTGCAGCCCCCCCACGGTGCTGACGAAGGGGCCCCAGGTGGGCGCAGACGGGAGTGGCCAGGAGGCCGCGTACAGTGTCCGGAACTCTCGGCTGAAGGCATCGGCAATCTCGCCGGTCAGCAGGGTCACCAGACCGCGGTGCAGGCGAGAGTCGCTCCACGTGAAGCTGAGGGGCACGCAGTGAGGGGTCAGGATCTCCGTGCTGCCCCAGGGAACCCAGCCTGGACCCCATTACCGGTCCCCACCTGGTCCCAGGACAGGCTGTGTGACCTCGGGCAGGTCCTGCAACCTCTCTGGTTTCAACATCCCCCTCTGTAGAATGAGAACCACCTAGGTACCTACCCGAGGGCTGATGTGACAACGAGAGTTAAAATACTTAAATTATCATCCGGAAGCCAGCCTGAGCTTATACCCGGACGCTGCCCCGTCCCCAGCAAAGGAGGTGTCAGTGCCTCCGTTTCCCTCTCTGAAAAGAGGTGGGCTTAGTCTTCTGACTCCCGCGAGGCCTGTCTTAAGACTCAGCTGCTTCCTATATAATGACTGCCATTTATTAAACACTTGCCGTGTGGCGGGCTCTGGGTGTGCCTGCTCCGTGCCTCAGTTTGCTCATCTGCGATACGGAGCTAAGATGTAGGAAGATTGGAAAGAGAGGACAAAGGGTTGAGCTGCCTGCATGGAGCCCGGCCCGCGCCCAGCTTGCCGTGGAGAGCAGGTCCCCTTCGGTCCTGTCATCACAGTGCTGGTATTTAAAGCACCTAGCTAGGGGCGCCTGGGTGGCTCAGTCGGTTAAGCATCTGCCTTCGGCTCAGGTCATAGTCCCAGGGTCCTGGGATCGAGCCCCGCATTGGGCTCCCTGCTCGGCGGGGAGCCTGCTTCTCCCTCTCCCTCTGCCTGCCTCTCTGCCTACTTGTGCTCTCTCTGTATCTCTCTGCCAAATAAGTAAATAAAATCTTTAAAAGAAATAAAAAAAAAAAAAAGCACCTAGCTTTAAGGTCTTGGCACACAGCAGGTGCTCTTGGGAATTAAATGAACCTGGGCTCTCATCCTGGCTCTAGGGACCTTGGCCACGTCACCTTCCCTTCCTGAGCCTTGGTTTGCCCATCTGAAAAATGGGCCCAGCGCCTGGAGAACTGATGCGTCAGCCACCAGGATGGGCAGTGTTGGTCCAAGCGTCCTTACCTTGGCGGGGTGGCAGCGTCTTCACTCCCTGGCAGGTTGGCGGGCCCGTCTGCCCGCAGATTGTGACACCCCTCCCCCCCGACCTGTGACCTCACCCCTGGAGCGGCCAGTGGGAGCCCCGAGGGGTCTGTGAGGTCACCCCCATTCCGTCCACAAAGAGTGCACGGAGCTCCCGCGAGGGACACGGAGCGTTGGGAACCGAGGACCGTCCGAGCGCTGACCCTGGGAGGCCCAGACCAGGGGCAAAAGTCTCGCGGGCCTCAGGAGCGTCATTCAGCAGTTCCGGGAGGCCCAGGAAGCCCACGGCCTGGCTTGGGCACCGTCCCCGCCACCAGGCCACCATGGTCCTCGGCTGGCTGTTGCTTCTGGTAATGGCTCTGCCCCCGGGCGCCATGGGCGCCAAGGACTGCGTGTTCTGTGAGCTGACCGACTCCAAGCAGTGCCCGGGCATCCACATGAGCTGTGGCAACGATGAGGATTGCTTCACGGGCCACGGGGTGGCCCCGGGCCTCAGCCCAGTCCTCAACAAAGGCTGCGTGGTGTCCACATCCTGCGGCCACGAGGAGCCGGTGACCTACATGGGCGTCACCTACACGCTCACCTCCATCTGCTGCTACGGCCACATGTGTAACGGGGCCCCCAATCCTGTGGGCGGCCGGATGGAAGGGGTCGTCGCCGGCCTGGCGCTGGGCGTGCTGCAGCTGGTCCCATATCTGCTGTGACCAACCCAAAGGGCAGGGCCCGGGACTGGTGTCCCGGCTCCGCTGTGCCCCTCCCCCCCGCCTCCACCCCCTCCCCCCCATTAAATGGCCAGAGGCCCTGGACAACCTCGTGTGGCCCCAGCTTCCTCCATTCCAGGGCTGCCCCCGCCCCCGGAGCCCAGGGCTCGGCAAAGCATGCTTAGGCCTGACTCAGTGGTGGGGAGCCAAGCTCGGTGGGTTTGGCTGGACCCCTCTATTTCATGGGTTCTAAGAGGCATATCTTTTCACATGTCTATCAGGATGCTTCTTTTCATCGGTGGCACCTTAGAGTCGATGAAATATGGTTAAAATGAACAATGACGACAATACACGACAGCTAACGTTTACGGAGCGCTGCTTCTGTTACGTGCCAGGGTACCTTGATCTCGCTGAACCCCCAGACAAAGCCAGGAGGGACGTTAGACGCGCTCCAAGATGGCTCCAGTCTCTGTGGCAACAGTTCTCCCAAGTGTTGTCCCCGGACCAGCAGCACCGGCATCAGCCGGGAGCTAGCTAGAAATGCCAGTTCTCAGGCCCCATCCCCAGCCGGCTGAGTGGGAGCGGTGGTGGAGGAGGGGGGCGGGGGGGGAGGGGAGGCACCCCAAATCTGTGTTTTTAAGGAGTCCTCCAGGTGATTCGGACGCAGGCAAGCCCAAGATTGAAAACCGCCAGTGGAGAGCACTGGTAATCCACTGGGCACGTCCGCCCCCCACCCCCAGGGGACAGTTGGCAATGTCTGGAGACAACTTTGGTTGTCCTAATAGGGGAAGGGGGGGGTGCTCCTGACATCTACAGGGTGGAGAGACCAGAGATTTGGTGCAGCCTCCTAAGATGCCCAAAGAAGTCCCCCCAGCACAGAACCATCCGGCCCCAAATGTGAGTAGCACCCCTGTCAAGAAACCCTGCTCTAGAGCCACTAACCGTATCATCCCGTTCTGTAGAGGAAGAAGGGAAGCACAGAGAGGTGAATTCAGCTGCCCATAGTCACACAGCCTATAGCCGGCAGAGCTACAATTCGAAGCCAGGCCACCTGACCCGAGAGTCTGTGTGCCTGCCCCGCACCCTCCCACGTTATGACCCTATGAGGCAGGTGCTGTTAGTAATTCACACTTTCCAGATGGGGAAACTGAGGCACAGAGCAGGGGAGGCACCGGCCCAGTGTGTCACAGAGCTGAGAAGTCGAGGAGCCAGGAGCCAGGGTGGGTCAGACCCCCAAGGACAGGAGAGGAGGGACTCGAGCCAGTCTGAGGGCCAGGTCCTTTGCATACCAACTCTTATTTTTTATAGTTGCTTAGAAAGGTGGAGTTAACTCAAGACAGGGCTAGGACTCCAATCCAGGTCGTCCTGGTTTTGAAACCCACACACAAACTGTGGGCCCTGTTTCCCAGATGAGGAGACACAGGGTCGAAGAGATGACCCCCACCCCAGGCCCCAGGGCAGGCCTGGCTCGACCCCAAACGAAGGGCTCTGCCCCTCGGTACCTCCTCTACCAGTGACGGTGTTTAGACCCATTTCACAGACCGGGAAAGAGAGGCTGGTAAAAAGGGACGCCGACTGCTCTACTGAGAGTTGGGGACAGGCCACCGCGTGGTGTGGGGAGGGGGGCAGCCGCACCTGTAGGATCCGGAGATGACCCTATGGCCATCCAGCAGCACAAACTTCTCCCGCACGTTGCCGCTCACCTGCCGTCGCCATCGGCTCTGGAAACTGCAGCCCCGCACAACACGGATATCTAGGTTCTGTAGTACAGGGGGCACACCCTAGCTCAGGCCAACCCCGCACACCTCCACTCACTGCCCAGGCCTCGTGGGGGGAATCCCTCCAGGCGGGTTAGGACCCAGATGGCCCAAGGCTCTGTAGAAAAGTCTGTCCCCGCTTCTCCAGAGCTACCAACATTGGGCTTCGGGGGGGTCTCTTGGAGATAGCTCTAACTCAGAGGGACCCCGTGGGAAGGCCCACCTCTAACTCCCCCAATGCCATGGGCATCGGATCTCAGAGGACCCTCTCAGCTGGCATCCACCTCAAAGAGCTAGGACGCTCTGGAGGGGTCTGCCCCCCGCTGACCCCAGCGCCAGGAGAATGAGGACTCGGGTCCCTCCCGCCAGGCTCCTACCTCAGTGGCCCAGGGGTTCACCCGCAGCCGCTGGGCCAGCGTCAGGAAGGCAGGCAGCTGCTGGTAGTCCAGGAGCAGGTAGACAGGCACCCAGCGGTGGGTCGCGGCGTCTACCAGGTCCAAAAGCAGGTCTGGGTCAGTGAAGATGTCCATGACCACGGCCACTAGCTGGGGGGTGGGGAGAGGGGCTGTGGATGGAGCCTGGAGCTCCGCGGACAGTCAGGGGCTAGGACCCTGGGGGTGGGAGTTTAAAGGCCCGACCTCGACGAGATGTTCAGGGGGGCTGCAGGAGAGGCCCCCAGACATGCACCGCTGTGCATACAGCGCTTACACGTGAATGAGGAAAAAACCGTCCTTCCTGGAGACCAAGGCCTCTACCGCTGGAAAACTCATCTTAATCACATCTGCAATGGCGAACAGTGTCCCGTGTGCTGTGACACTGCATGGTGGCCCTGCTCCAGGGCTCAGCAGGCTGGGTCCTTGGAGGTGCCCGGGATACGGGGGGGGGGGGGGGGCGTGCAGGATGATCTGCTTTGTCACACAGGGGGAGCTCTGGGGACTGGGTGGGGGCTGCTGAGGGCCTGGATCTTGCAGGCAGAAACATGTAGCAGAGATGACTCCTGACCCACTGGCCAGACAGCCTTGGTTCAAATTCCCGCTCGGTCACTTACTGGTGAGAGACTTAACCTCCCGTGCCTCAGTTGCCCCATCTCTCCTTACTCGGTATAATAAGTCCCAACCTCCCAGGACCCTCCTGGCGATTATAAATGTTAACCCGTGTAAGGCACTTAGCATGGGAGCTGGCAGGCACAAAGCCGTCGGATAAAGACCAGGCTCTCCAGGGGGCTGTAGGGGAGACATCTGGGCCCTCCGTGGGAGGGAGGATGGAGACACCTACCCTAGGGGTGGGGTGGGGTGCGGTAGATGACTGAGACCAAGGGGTCATAATTAGGTCCAAGGGGCATGGATGCCCAGGGGGACCCAGGCCTTGGAGAGAGGGTGAGGATGAGGTCTGGGGGCTGCGAGGTGTGGACTCAGGAGTCCCGGGAGGGCATGGGTGAGACACCAGGGCCCCAGGGGATGCGCCACTCCCAGGTCTGGGAGCTGGCTTGTGAGGATGTCTGGGTCTGGGGAGTGGACACCAGGCCCCCCCTGAGACCCCCACCTTGCAGGCAGCCTGGATTTCCTGGCGCACCAGCTCCTTGAGGGGCGGGTGGCCCTCGTCGGGTGGCTGGGTGTACAGCTGCGCCCGGGTGATTCCCTTCCAGGTTGGGACCTCTGGCCAGCCCAGCCGCAGCGTGGGCGCCAGCTCGTCTGACCGTCCGGGCCAGTAAGTCAGGCTGCTGCCCGAGTCCCAAATGGTGGCAGGGGCTCCCTCTGCTGCCCTGCTGGGCGGCTGCTTGGACGTGGTCCAGTCCTCAGCCGCCGCCGCCAGGCTCCGGAGCTCTTCCCCGCTCAGAAAGGGCCGCAGGCCCTCGCGCTGCACGCAGGCCTCGAACGCCTCGGCGCCCTTGCTCAGCAGAGCCTCCAGCGCCAGCCGCTGGCCCTCGGAATACAGGAAGCCAGGGCTGGCCTCGGTCAAGGGCAGCCCCGTGGCCCCCAACTCTTCTCCTTCCAGCGCTGCCAGCTGGGAGGCTGCCATTGGGCTGCTCGGGTGGGAGGACCGTGAGGCTGGGTGTCTGAGGATTCGGCCGTCTCTGGGGGACTGACCATCTGGGGGTCTCCTGCCAGGCAGACTCTCTGCGGCCGGCCAAGGCTTCCAGGGCCGCTCCGTGAAGGTCCCTGGCTCCGCGTCCTGATAGTCACACTGTCCAGGGCGTGGGCTGCTCAGACGGACCAGCCACCTGCCTCCAGCCACCACAGTGACAGGCTGGTCACCTGAACTTCCGGCCAGCTGTCAAGGGTGGTCCTGCGTGTGGGTCAGGGTGGCCCCCCGACTCCGTCCCTGGCTGTGTGATCCGTCAGCTGCTTCTCCGTGCACATCAATTTCCAGTCTCCTGGCCCCTGGTGGCCCCAACGGACTCTGTCGCTGGTTCCGTCTCGGTCAGGCTGAAGGCCCAGCTGGCCTGGCCAGAGGTCTGGCTGACTGGCCAACCATCTCCCAGGTAACAGCCACAGGCTGTCTGCCTGTCTCCTACCACCTGAATGTCCCTAACTAAAGGTAAAGTGGGCTATTTGCCCCTGACCGATGGCACATCTAACTGACCCTCTCCGGCTGGCTTTTTGATTATTTGGCAGACGTTGACTGCTTCCAGCTAACAAGGTCGGTATCTGGCCGCCCAGTGGAGCACCCCGCCGTGTCCAGGGAAATGTTTTTCCTGCTGACGGGTGGCTGGCTCACCGGCTCTCACTGACTGACCATGCCAGGCACCTCCCCTTGGACCTGCTCTCTCGGTTTGGGAAGAATGGGCTCCAGCCTGAAGTCTGGGCATCACCCTTCCCCAGCCAGGGAATGAGGTCTCAGTCTCTGTCGCTTGGGGACTCTGCCCCTGGGGTGTCACACACACTTGGGCTTAGCTACAGTGGAGGATACACTCCACAGGGGCTTGCATCACCATGGAACCAGCCCATGACCTCAGCAGCCCACCTAGACGGAGGGCCTGACTAGCCACTGTTCCTTGGACTGGCTGCCCTGGACTGTCTCCTAGCCAGAATTGTCTTGGGCTGCCCTCTCTCATCTATGCTGACCCCTAGCCGAGATGACCTGTCCGGGTTTCTGCCTGAATCCCACGATCCCCTGCCAGCTGACCATCCATCCACCTAGTCCTGGCCAAGGAGCACCCTTTGAGGCTCCTGACTCAACCTCTGGCCTATGGACCCCTGATCCCTGCAAACCAGCAGCCCTTCCTTCCAATCACACACCCAGACGGCTTCCTTCCTCCACACCACAACCACAAGGCCTACAAAGAGAAAAGGAATAAAACTGGGGCTCCCTCTCACCCCGTCCAGCTCCCCCAACTTGTCCAGACCCCCATCCCCCTTCCTTCCTTGCCTTCTCGGAGGTCGGAATTAGGGGTCTGGAGACCTGCTTTTATTTCTGTTCTTCCTGCCGTCTGGCCTCATTCATCAGGTTTTAGCCTGGGATCCGGGGAGCCCAACCCCTTGTGTCAACAGAGGAGGGCCCAGAAGGCAGGTCCCTGTGAAAGGCCTCCAGTCCAGGTATGGGAGGGCCCCAACCCAGGGGACACGCTCATCGGGTTACTGGCCCAGGGCCCAATGGCCGGCCAGACTCAAGGGGGAAAGAGGGGAGCGACTCACCTGTTCCCAAGGACCCCTCCCCCACCACGGTCCCGCCCCCTCCGCACTTCGTGGTCCACACCCCACCCACCAGCCCCAGCCAGGAGCAGCAGGTGTGGCTAATCCGGGGGAGGGAGCAGGCCCGGAAACACCTGTCACCCGGCTTATTAAGGGGGCGGGACTTTGGTCACTGGGAACCCGCCAAGGGTCCAACGGTGCGAGTCCCAGTAGCACGCTAGAGGGCGCCTGCCGGTGGAGCGGGACTCCGTGAGGGAAGGCCCCCCCCCCCCCCCCCCCCCGGTCTCCGTGGAGACGGGCACCGAGTCCTGCTCCCGGACACGCCCTAAGGCCCCAGTCCCCTGCCGTCCCCCACAAACACACAAAGGACCACCAGCATTCAAAATCTTTAATAACAGGGCAGGATCTGTGGTCAGTTCTTGTAGCCTCGGCTGGCCCTGCGGCCTCTGGCACGCTCGAACTTCCGGCCCTTGGATCTCACGTAGGGCCTGCGGGCAGGGAGAGCAGGGTGAGAGCATGCCCACGCGGCGGCCTCAAGACAGGGTGCAAGCTGAGGCTGGCTGAGCAGTGCGCTGCTTGCTCTAACAGAGCAGCACAGGAACATGGCAGGGGGGACACCAAGGAGGCTGCTGGAAAGGCCGGGCAGGGCAAGACGCAGGCTCCGTCTGGGAGATGCAGACTCTGGCCGGCACAGGCCCTGAACACGCTGCATTTACATGGCTGGCTGTGCAGAGATCTCAGCAACAGAGAGAAACAGCTTTAAGCCAAGTCTTGAGGAAAAAGCGGGGAGGACGCGAGGTGAGGCGTTCTAGGGAGGGACAGAAGGGGCCGGAAGGGTGGCAAGGCCCAGATCCACAGGGTGGGGTCCCCGGAAACGCCAGGGCCAGATGGCAGGGCTAGGTGTACTCACTTGGTGTGGCTGTGCGGGGTTCCCGGGGCCTTGCCGAAATGCCTGTACACCTCTCGGCCCTTGCGGGGGCCTGGGAAAAAGAAGAGAAAGCTGGGATCAGGCAGGGACCCAGCTCCAAGAAGTCGCCGTAAGAGTCACTGAACATCACTCACCAGAGAGCAAGACGGTGCCACAGCCCTTGGGGGAGTCTAGGGCCAACTGGTCGAAGGTGAGGATCTTGCCTCCAGCTTTGAGGATGCGGCTCCGGGCACGGCTGCTCACACGCAGCGCGCACACCTGGGAGACACACGGACAGGCACGGTCAGACGCCCCCCACCGCCACCCAGGGGCTGCTGGCTGTTGGCGGAGCCGCGACCACCACCACTAGAGAGAGCTTCCCCAGTTGACAATAGCAGTCCTTACCAATTAACATCCAAAACCTCCTTTAAGGCTGCAACCACCTGAACTTACCGCAGATAAGGAAACGGAGGCATTAAAAAGACCCACGACTTCGTCCACGGGCCATAAACTGGCCAAGAAATCTAGATTTGAAGCCAAGCTGTAAGGCTCAAGAACCAGCACCACCATCAGCGAGGGACCCAGAAGGGTCTGGCCCGGCGACACCCACCATGGCTAATGCCACGGACAATCCCCCTTCAATCCTAAAAGCCACCCAGACTGGTAGGTGTGATGCCTGCCTCACCCAGAGGAGAGAGGAGACTGGGAAGGCATCACAAGCCTCGTGGCATCTCTGCCAGAGATCATCAGCAGAGCCAAGGACACAAGCCAGGTCTGGGCTCTTGCCCACCCACCATGCTCCTGAGCCCCCTCCACACTCACCTTCAGTTTGGGCACCTCCTGGACACGCACGTCGTCGGTTATTGTCCCTACAACCACAGCTGTTTTGTTTTCCCGGCCAGGTAGCTTCATCTTCCGAATCTTTGAGGGAAGGACAAATGCAAACAAAGGAAGCTCCTTCTAGTGTTTACTTACCTTTATAAATATTTCACTTATCCGTTCACGAATGACAGAGAGAGGGAGAGAAGGAGCCTGACGCGGGACCCGATCCCAGGACCCGGGGATCATGACCTGAGCTGAAGGCACACACCTAACCAACTGAGCCACCCAGGCGCCTGCTCCTTCTGGTGTTTAAATCCAACCCCACTGTGTCAGGCATCCCAAGGATGGAGACGGTTGGGCCCTGAAGGGGATAAACCTGCCCATGCCTCGCCTCTCAACCAGTCCAGCCCTAATCTCAGGTCCGGCTGGGGAAAAAACCCTGGAGACAAAATGCACAACTCTTCAACAGATCTCTCCTTCAAGAGAGCTTAGAACATGGTAAGACCTGCCTCATGTGACTTGCAACCACTACAACCGCCACTTCACAATGAGAAAAGCCCAAGCCACTCAAATACCCACCGCTGTTCAGCTACAACCCTAGGGTCAAGGGTCGGAGCTCTGTGCCCACCACAGGGTGAAGTAAACCAGCTGATGGCCAGGCCCCAAGCCCCCCTCCCAGAGACACAATCCAGTCATTCCCCGAATCAGCCCCTCACCATCCGGGAAAGGGACAGAGGTGGCCGGTTGGTGCGACTCATGAACAACCTCTTCAACACGACTTGGTTAAAGGTAGAGTTGGTTCGTCTGGCCAGAAACCTGTACAGCTGGAGGAGAGAGAAAAGAATGGGAACCCAGAGTAGCCCACACCCCTCCCCCCACAACCTTCAATTAAAGACAAAAAAGCATGGTTTGGGATAAGGTTTTTACGGCTTTCCCCCTTCCCACTGAGCCCCAGAAAGCCCCCCAAGTCCCCTCCCCACCTGTATACAGCCCAGAGACTGAAACACTGAACCCCCAGGAGCCTCAGGCACAACCACAGATGTGCGCCTGCCCCGCAGGCCCCTGGAGCAGCCTGGGGCCCAATACTAGAACGTCGGTTCTAGAAGCTGCAGTTCTGGGCGGCCCTAAGGGTCTCAGACCTCAGCCTCACCTTGACCAACAGTCTCAGGTAGATGTCCTGGCTCTTGGGCTCCTTGCGCCGAACCTTTCGGTCCTTGTTGTGGCGGATGTCGACTCCCTGCAAGGTTAAGGAGACCATGGACCCAAATCTCTTCTGGCAGCTCACTCACCCCCAAAACAACTGTATTACCCATCTCCGAGGAAGAGCTAGGGCCCCAGTCTCCGAAAAGACAACAAACCCCAGGTCCACCCTGAGGAGACCTGTGAAAAGCCACTTAAATCTTCTGGGCCTCAAATGACCCCCAATTTAAGAAAAATATGAATTCCACATGCAAAGCCTTCAGGACATGGTGCACGGCACCTTGAAAAGCTTCAACGCAGCAGTCGCGCTAAGAAATCTGAACTCTTCAGAAGATGCGTTTTTCAATAATATAGGCCAAGGGCAGACTCTACCTAATAATACGGCAAAGAACCTTTATTTGGGACTTACTCCAGTGCTAGAACCTTCCATGCACGACCTCCAGGAGGCAGTTTCCCAC